GTCATGCCCCTGTTGAAGACTGACTGTGAGGGAGAAGAGGAACAGCTGACAGGGAGTGGAAGTGTGGCTCCGGAGGTTGTGGAGGAGGCTAGGGAAGGGCAGAGGCTGGCTGGGCAGTCAAAGAAAGACCCAGGCCCATCCCCTCTCCATCCTAGGGCAAGCGGGGAGGAGAGGATAAGGGAGAGAACTGAATGGCGTAGTCTATAGTGGAGGAAAGGGCCTTGATCCTCTTCATGGGCTGCAGCTGTGAGAACTGGTTAAAAGGACGGACATGCAAATGGGCCAGTGCTGGAAACAAAGGATGGAAATATCTCTAGTCTGTTGTTCCTCTCTGAGTTTGGCGTCCTTCCCAGTGTGCGTTACGATATCTGTGGACGTCTTCAAGCCCTTATCTTGCCTGATTCCCTTAATTGCTTCAGTGTGGTTTGTGTTGTTTTTACTCTTTATAATTTATAGGCATTTTTAGTTTAAATGGCATTTCCTCCTTTTCGTAACTGCGTGTGGGGGAGTTTTTTTTGTCTCCAGTCAAGGATATTTGGAGCTTTGAAGCAAAGTAAAGGAATAAAAGGGGCTTCACCTGTTTTTGTGACTGTCTTTATTTTGTATCCCACCCTGGGTCATCACACAAACTCTATGGGGAAGCCAGATTCACCTAACCATCACATTACTAACTTAACAACTGCAGTGATTCGATTAACAGCTCTGGCAAGAAAGGTTGTAAAATGGGGCAAAACTCACGTAGCAGTCATCATGTTTAGCAATGGAAATTTTGGCCTCAATTGTAGTTGCAAGTTGAGGACCACCTGTAATCAACTTTTAAAAATTTTATTCTAAATTACGTAGAGCCAAAGTAAAACAAATTGCCTACAGAAAATAAGATCACATTTACGAATTATCATCCCATACATCATATTACCTGGACATCCTATTTAGGTAACTCCATACAGGATTCCTTCAAGTAATGTGATTATGTAATTATGTAATGTAAATTAATTTCCAAGTAGCTTAAAATGAGGACAGTATGATAATACAGGCTTTATAGAGACTGGACAGCTCAGAGACAATCTAATCAGTAATCACCATCTTGCTGCTGGAGACACAACTGAGGAGCTGGAATACTCATTCTTATGTCTTGGACTCTGCCCAAAATATGTACTTTGCCATATTTTGAGAATGAAATCAACAGGATATGAATGATACGATTCTGCATCAATGGCTAGGTGTTAAAATGTCAGCCCTTTGAAGTAGCCTGGGTCAGGGAACAGACTCTTCAGTATGAGTAGAACTATACTTTACTGAGATAGACTATTGTGATTATGTAATTCTTGTCAGCCTGAGAGTAAGCTGTTTGCGTTTCTACACATGGAAATTGTGCCAATACAATCAGGAGACTGTGAGTTCAAGTCCCACCTTAGCTATTAAAGCCAGCTGGGTGACTTTGCACCAATCTCTCTCTATCCCTCTCTCCCTCTCCCTCTCTCCCTCCATCTCCCTCCCAACCTCCCTGCCTCCCTCCCTTTTTCTCTACCCAACCCACTGACAGGGTTGCTGTTGTGTGACAGTAGGAGCATGTGTTGTATATATTCACCACCTTGAGTTATTTGTAAAAATAAAGGCAAGATACAAATAAATAAATAATTTTTAAAAAACCAAATAAATATTGTTTTTCTAAAAATTCAGGGCCATTTAGCTTTATCACCAAATTCTGATGATTCAGTATGGAGAGATTGATTCCAAGGATTGGGCAAAGGCTTTTTATTGGACATTACAAAAAATTGAGTCAACAATATAATGGTTGGAGCCTCATTGAATGTGACTCGGGAAGGAGGTGGAGGAAGGGGAACCAACTCTTTTTTCAATCCCACCAAAGTGGATCTACAAATTAATCCCAATGTTGCTATTATTTTTAGTGTAAACAATACAAAAGAAAAAGACAAGTGCTTTCCATATTCTAAATGATGTTAAAATAATGCAATGTAGTGACTACCTGGATGTACTTAACTAACTCTTAAGTTGTTTGTTTATGTATAAGGTTGACACTGTAGAATGAATAACCTCAGTATTTTGAAATCATGTCATAGTAGTAGCTAGCAACTCCTATCTGACTTTATTAATACTTGAACAGGAAGCCAACAAGAAATATTATCAAACAAGACACATGGATATGTTCACACAGTCCCTAGGTACAGAGCTGCAAGCAAGGAAGACTTCAACCTTCTTGTATCCTTCATACAAAAGGGATCTATGAATTGAGGGAGGTACTCTTGCATTCCCCGGTAAATATAGAAGCAGCTGCTAAAAGAAGAGACTTATACAGGAGCTACAGTAGATATGACTACAGTAATTTGTTGCTGCAAGGCATGGATGCCTTTGAAGATTAGCCTGAAGATTAGCAGCTGCTTTGGAAGAGCTATTTGCTTGAAGAATTTAATCCATGTTATGTCTAGACAGGTCTCCTTTCTCTCTCGCTTTTTCTCTCTTTCCCTTCCCTTCCAGTTCTTTCTTCCCCGTGCCTCATTCCCCCATGCCTCATTCTCTTCCTTCTTTACCCAGATATTCCTTCAAAAACTGGTTTCAGGTACATTTAGATTGACCTGACCATGCTACGTAGTCTGCTGATTTTTTTCCCTGTTATATTTTGGGTGGATCATCTCTTTTGAGTAAATAAATATACAACAAGAGTGGAATTGGAATTTGCTGGAGAAAAAGATGACTCACTTCAGCCAGCCGGGATAAATCTTTATGACTTCATTCTCCTTAGGTTTAGCTCTGATAACCCACGCCTCAGGAACTGCTTCTCGGAAGACAGACCCCGGCTGCGTCTCTTCAATTGTATCATTCCTATTAATGATGTCGTCACAAAACAAGGCCTGCTGAGTGAATGTCTGAAGTTCGTAATCTTGTTGATCATCACTGATGTAGTATGCCCTCAGTGCAGCCTCCTACAACAGTAAATCCTTGTTTTTTAAAAAAATCAAAAAATACGCCTGAATGAAATGGTGATACAGCCCCCAACTTGTGTCAAATATACAGTTCCAATCAGCAGTTACATTTCCCCTGAGAAGTGTTGTGATAAGAATGGGAAAAAGAATGAAATTCTAATCTTTACTCAATATTGGCAAGCTCTATTGTAATGCATCATCATGTATCGCAATTACCAATGTACCCCTCATCCTAGATTGTTCTTGAATACGTTAAGTGGAATCAGATCGATTAGCTCCGGGATGGGAGATTATTCAGTCGTTCCAAGGACTCAGAATAGATTGAGAAATTGCAATGATGTTCCAGAAAGAGCAACAGCAATTTATTTTCTTAAATTTACTAAGAAATTAACTTGGACTTGTCCAGTCATCAAACTCAACTTTGCAGAAGCTTTACTTAATCTCCTTCATTGGTATAGTGACAATTAGTAGCCAGATGTCCTCTCTCATTAAGTAGGCATAACTTAATAACCTCCAAATGTTAATTCTCTATTTAGTCAATCAAAACTCAAAATACAAGTAGCAGCATTGCGCACATGGCAAAGACTGTAAAATATACTGAAAATTAAGATAAAATTTAAAAACACATATCTATGTTAGTACTATGCCAGCTACTAGTTACTTTCTCACTGGTTACTGTTTTGCAATAAAAGAATAACCCTTGAACAAAATCATTAGTCCCTCTTACGAACAGAATTAACTTCTTCAGCATTTTCAATAAACAGAGAACTCAGTTTGGTCTGTCGGCATTCTTACCACAACTTCTTCATTTTTTGCAATCCTCGGAACTGTAATAAGACGGTACTGATTACGTTTTACTGCATCATTCCCATCATATATTTTTAACATTTGTTTACCTAAAACAAAAACAAATATTCTAACATGTAACACAAGAAATACAGTTAAGTACCATATATCTCCAAATTGCTAAGGTGTTCAAAAAGTTAATTCTTAATTACAATATTATTGGATTGTGATTGCAGTTCTATTATTTACACTGATCAAAGAGGCTACATCAAGTAACATCTGATCTATAAGAAATAAGCAAGGATTTCTCAGATGCATTTTAAAAATGATTTCTCTTCCACTCATGAGCTATCAGACTATACTAGCTGTCATCCAGTAGTATAGATTACCACATGAAGAGTTCTCCTTTGCTACAGCTCCTGAATCAGAAGCTAGATAAGTCATCCCAGTCAGATGTTATCTAGTGCAGTGTTTCTCAACCTTGCAAATATTAAAATATGGGGACTTTAATTCCCAGAATTCTGATGGTTGTAATCCATATGTCTTGAGGTTCCCATTGAAAAATGTTGCTCTAGTGAACCATGCTCTGATCAGGGAATTAGACAAAATTATGTTTAATACCTGCCAATTTTTAATCAGAAGCTAAACAGCCATCAATCAGAAGTCATCTGGTGCAGTGAGTGTTTCTCAACCTTGGCAACTTTAAGACATGTGGACTTAAAGACATATGGATTCCATTATTCTAAAAGGTTAAAAATTGCATTGGCACCTTTTCATTTACAATCCTGGATGCTCTAGCAAAATCTGGATCCAAACAGTTCTTGAGAATCAATGCTAATTATCCAAAACCATGATTTATGGCTATACAAGACTGCCAACATAGCAACAGCAATAGCACTTAAGAGGTATAGACCACCCTATAGTGCTTTACAGTAGTCTCTGGGCAGTTTGCAGAGTCAGCATATTGCCCCCCAACAATGTGGGTCCTTATTTTAACAACCTCAGAAGGATGGAAGCTGAGTCAACCTTGCGCCTCATCAGGATTGAACTCTTGCAGTGGGCAGAGTTAGCCTGTAATACTGCATTCTAATCACTGTACCAGGCTTCATAAGTACCTGATGAACTATCAATGGCACAATGCTAAACTCTATTTCTACATAAGCCTCCATTCAAATGTTTCACAAAATCAAAAGGCTTCACATCCACAGTCATACCCACTTTCCATTTATAGGGAATATTTGCTCCATTTTCATCATCCTAAGGCAGTAATAATTTTCTTATTATCCAGCAAAAAATGAGTCATAACACAATTTTAAAAACATATAAAACTGACAAAACCAATATGATTTTCAGCACTCCATACTATGAATTTCATTTTATAGCTCAGGGAACAAAGTTTATGAGGTCACAAGGGCGAAATAAATATTGATATAAATAAAATAAGTCTCCAAAACTGTAATTCAAAATTTTTAAATTGTTTAGAATTCTGAGAACAGAAACCCATAAAATTTAAAAACTAAAACCAATTAGCAAGTGCACAAAACATTGTTCATATAAAAATAAAACAAAATTAATAAAACATACTATGAATCAGCAATAAAAATGTTGACTCTTTCTTAATAAAGGCTTCACAATGTTTTATGGCTCAGCCCATGAGATTCTGTTATTTTATATCCTACTTCTGAACATTTTAATAATATTTAAAAAAAATATGTATACCAAATCCTGCTAAATATTCAGGTCTTTTAAAAATACTGGTTAAGTAGTTGCTTTTTAAATATAAGTTTAAATAAAAGTTGTTGGAGAACACAGTTCTCCATAATTCAGATAGCTTTATATTTATATTTCATCCGAAAAATCTGCAGTTAATTTCGGGTGAAGAAATCTAGAGGATTACAAAATTAGAAAGAAAATCATCGGATCCTACAATTATCCCGGATTTCATACACCCTTATTCAGGAACACCTATTGAATTCAATCAGACTTCATAATAGAGAACACATGATAGAAAATAGGACCATGCATCCTACATGGAATATTTTGGATTTAACTTCAAGCAATGCTTCAGAATCCATGGAAACACATGGCATCTCCTGTACCCTAGCAGAAAATATTTCATGTGGAGGAAGGATAGTTGTTTAGAATGGAAAACACCAAATATTCTAATGTGGGAAGACAAGATGAATCTTCAAATATTTTATCTTCAGCATGAAAAGCTCAGAGGACTATCTCTGTATCTAGTGCATGAAAAGATTCTGAAAACAACAGGAAGGCTATTGGAGAAAGGAAAAAGTGATCCCTGTTCTTAAATCAAAGCTTCCCTAATGCAAGCATTTTAAACCATTCTTGGAGACCTCATGACTGAAAAGTACAACAAATAAAAGCACAGTTAAGAGAAAGATTTAAGGTAGATAACAGGACATTTGGAACTGAGCAATAGAAGACAGAAATTGAATTATGTACAAATGATGATACATGTAATTGCCAAAATGTATGCACTCTTGCTGAAATTAGAAATTGAAAATGAACAGGTGAAAGGGTATAGGATAAAACTGGCTGAGAATTTGAGACATAATATTGTTGGAACAGTGGGAAAATGTAGCTGAAAGGGCTGAAATTCACATTATCATTTAAAGAAGAATTTTTATAAAACGATGCTCCATTGGTATATGACTCCAGAAAAATAATCTAATCATGAGAAAAAGTACTTCAAAAAGTACAGTATGTTGGAAATGCGGACATCAAGGGTCATTTTATCCTGCTTGATGGACTTGTAAAAAAGCCAGAACGTTTTGAATTCAAATACACAGAATTATGGAGACAAAGATTCAACTGAACCAAGAACTTTTAGCTGAGATTAATGCACAGACAACTAGAAAAAAAGCCATTGCATATTGTTTTTATATAGGATCATTAGTGTGTGAAGATTCTGAAATACCGACAATGGAGGATTGGTACAGAGCTCTAGCAGAAGTAGAAAAATTGTTTGCTTAGAGAAAGATCAGCTACTATATTTATTAGAGGCTGGACAGTCGTTAGGACTTTTTGCTGGAAAAAAAAATGAACTTATGATTTTTATTGATCGGAAGACTAGAAAGGTTACATTAAGGAAACTTTGATGTAACCTTAAAAGAGAGGGGGAAATATATAAAAGGTCTTATAACTGCTGTTAAGAAGACCAAAAGCCACTTCTTTGTTATTCTTTTTTTCTTTCTTTTCTACTTTTTTCTATATTTCTTTTTCACTTTTCTATTACTTTTCTCTATTTCTCTTTAACTCAAAATTTATATGGTTCTTAACTCTTTAGAAAAACATTGTTAATAACAATTACATTAAAAAGTACAATTAATAAGCTAACAAAATAGTAAGCAGCTCTTAAACTTGACAATGCAAAAGGCAACGAGATATGTAAAATGTAGATGATTATTTTATGTAAAAAAATTTAAATCCTGCTTTTTAAATCACAATGAAACTAGTGTATAAACAGTTAATCAACCACAATGAATACAGATATTTAATTCAATAGAGAGATAGCAGCGGATTTCTTTCCATATGTCATTTTATAGTTAGGATATTAGGTTAGTTTATCAGTTTTAACCTTATATTACGTATTTTTAAATTTTCAAAAATAAAAAGCTAATATTCCAAAGAAGCTGCACTGCAGACACTTTAAAGGGCTGAATCACAGAAACAGCTTGAATTAATCATTGTTTAATAATAATACTGTCAATTACAACAAGAGCTGGCTAGCTGTCAGCTACGCTAGTAGGCCATATGAGGAAATCATCTCCCAAAAAGGCTAAAATGTTCATTAAGATTGGCTATAATAACAAAAGAAGTATGTCCAGTCATACTTCTCCTTCTTATATTTCAGTGAATCTCCCTGAACAACTTCCAAATGTTATATCTTTGTTTGGGCTTTAAAGGGTGCTTCAGCTCCTTTTGCTCAGATAGGAGGGTTCCTGTATATTTCTGCAAGATCACCCTCCTGACTCTGTACACGAGGGCTATCAAACTCATGGCCCACGGGCCAGATGCATCACATGCTGGCCACGCCATGTCCAATTTAGCAAAGGGGGGAAAAGTCCCGATCGGTCACGTAACACCGCCGTGAAAACATTGAGTTTGACACCCAGTTTGGCGTTGAGTTTGCTCTACACCAACTTCTTGACAATCTTTTGGACTGAACATTTTGCACAATAAAAACTGCAGATTATCTGTGTATAAACCTTTGTAATCTGGAGATAATCTGGACTTAATATCAAATGCCACTTACTTGAATCTGCTGAAACCTGGGATTCTTTTGATGATGATTGTGCTGAACTATCAACATCATCGTCATCATCTGTTGGAAGAAAAATTGGAAAAGCAATTTATATGGAGGATAATGCATTGCTTTAAAGATACTACAGTATTCAGAAAAAAACAGGCTCCCAATATTGCTCTTCTTACATTGACATAATCTATTACATAATGAAGAGTGCTGAATCAGGATACTAAGGACATTTATGCCCTTGGGGGGAGTTAAAAATCCCTATAGTCACAATGAAACTGTTTCATAGCAGAGAGGTGCAAACTACATTAACCCTGGAATGAATTCTGCTCCTGAATCAAAGAACCTGGCGCAAGTTTATTAAATTTTATTTATTATTTTTATGAAGAAGAAAACAATATTGCAATAACCTATATTCAGCTTCTTATTGGGGTTCCTGAATCCATAGAGAAACTTAAAATACATATTTTTGGTTAGGCAGCTGATATCAGGTGCAAAAGACCCGGATCACATGTGAAGTTCCAATTAAACTGATTTTTTTTTACTATTCCTGCCCTTACAAGAATCTATTTTAGCCCAACTTTTGTGCTAAATAAGGGTTAACAAGATTCAAGAGAGGTCTTTGTGGCTACGTAGTGATTCTACGCTGATTCCTCTTTTGAGTCCATCCTCAAGTTCTGCCATTCCTTCTCTTAGCTGATAGACAAAGCTGAAATGATCAATTGGCTTAGCTCCTCAATGAATAGTGCTTTCATAGAGGAGAAAGGGCTATAACCAGGGATGGGATCTGACTGGTGTAACTACCGGTTCGGTGATTTACGTTTTGCGTGTGAAATGTCGTCAGCTTGCAGCCTAGACAGGTGTGAAGTGTTTGAAAAAGCATTTTTTTCCTTGCTTTTTCAACCGCAGCTGTGCCGCAAAGCAGCTAAGGTTGAAAAAGCAGGAAATAAAAGGTCGGGTAAGAGCCCGGGTGGGTGGGTGGACCAAAACAGCAGCAGACATAGAACTGGTTCTATGTCTGCTGCTCTTCAGAGCTACTGGTTCTACAGAACTGGAGAGAACCGGTAGAATCCCACCCCTGGCTATAACACACTCAGAGGAGGCGTGTTAAATTCTGGAGATTCTAGGAAGAAGAATTGGGAGAAAGCAGGAATTAAGATGCAATGGTTGGCAACCTAGATGGATTTAAACAGTAATGTTTGTTGACAATTGGTTGGTGGTAAAAGAGAAAAGATTAATTAAAAGAATAATTAAATTTGTAATATGTTGAGAAAGGCCTACTCTGTAGTGTAAAGAATACAAATAGGTGGACAACAACCCAAGGAAAGAGTCACCAAAAATCTAAAAAGAAAATATCTTGGCTTTTTATTTGTTTTAATTAAACAATTAAATTTAATTGGCATGCCAGTTTGGTGTAATGATTAAGGCATCAGGCTAGAAACTGGGAGATTGTGTGTGTTGGCTTTGGGTATAAAGCCAGCTGGGTGGTCTTGGGCCAGTCCCTTTTTCTCAACCCTAAGAAGGAGGCAATGGGAAACCACTTCTGAAAAACTTTGCCAAGAAAACTGCAGGGACCTTTCCAGGAAGTCTCTGAGAATCAGACACAACTGAATGTGGGGGAGGGGGGTGTTTTTAAATATGCCATCCAAAGATAGGTTTCTGAGATTGGCAGCTATATAAATTTGCTAAATAAAATAAATACATTTTCCTGAAGATATTGGTCTAAGATGTACTGTAGAGGGCAGCAAAATATTGCTTTAGACTCTAAACAGTGTTTTTTTTTTCAGGATAATCCAAGCAAATAAATCACACATTTTTTTAAAAAAAGTTTGCATATTTGTCAGATCACCAAATCTATCCCATGTTGTGCTATAATGGCCTCTTTTTTTCCCCACTACAAATTTGTAATTAGTGTGTTGGCTAGGAGTTGTGGAAACTATAGTTTCAATCTATGTGCAAGACATCAGGGAAAGGAGACTGTACTATACAATTTTTGATAAACTAAGAATTTAAATTTTATAATGGCTTACTACTTTACCGAAATATTAGTTTAGTTTTCTGTCCTCCTCCTCCTTTTCCAGGAAAGGTTTAAAATGTTTTCTTATATTTAGTGAGCTCAAAACAAACCCCCAAAACCACAGTTTCCTGATATTTTGAACTGGCTAAACCATTTCATCTCATATTTTTTTTGAAACCTACAAACCTGTCAATGTTTCTAACCCTTGGAAGAAAAATAACCCTCAAATCACCGGCCAGAACAGCTATTTATATTAGTGATAACATATTACAGGTAGTCCTTGTTTTGCGACTACTGTGGTCAGCAACTGTTTTCAGTTACAAAGGTGATGAAAAAGTAACCAGTGCCCACATTTGCTACATTAGCAAGCCTATAAAGCAAAGGAAATCTGAAGTAAGATAATAAAAACAGTAACGGTTCCACTTAGCGATTGCTTTGCTTTAATGACCGAGTTGCCAGTCACACTTATGGTCACTAAACAAAGACTACCTGTAGCAGACCAAATCAATTCATAATGTTATTTAACCATAACTCATAATAATGTGAATTCAAGAGAAAGACAGAGAAAGAGAAAACAATAATGAAACCGTTTAACATGATTCTGAACAGCTTAACATAACTTCTGAACTTTACCTGGCTCTGCTTGTATGCTTTCTGATATTCGGAAACAGTGCATTTTACTGAAGTTCCGACAAAATAATCGCACACAACTGGGAGGAAGAATCATGTTCCTTAATCTTCCAAAAGTACACTCAGGAGGCACAATCACACAGCAAGCGGCATGAGCCTACAGAAAACACAACATCAAGTTCTCAAGAAGTTGTATCAGATAGCCAAGTGGTTACAACATCACATTTTGTCTTCTGTAGTTTGTGATATTCTACAGTGGCAGCGATAAAACACAGAAATGGTGGGAGTTTTGTCAGACTTAATGCTTTTTCCCAAAAAAACTGCTATGCAGCTCTAGAGTTGAGAACAGTTATATTTTCAGTGCTGTATGATTCAGCATTCTTTTAGCCATAACTACAGACACTATTAATTTCTCACAAATCCAAATCCATATCTGAGCTTTGATAATAATGTGAGCGTCTATATACTCGGAACTACAAACTGTTTTAATGGAGGAAGAAAGTTCATACTTAGGAAAAGCAGATTTCCCTTACAAAGAATGAGGAAATCATTTGAAGAAAGTTTCCGTTCTTTTATAAAATAAGTACTGACAGCATCAGAAATAATAGCTAACATTTATCTGGTTTTTTTATGTTTACTCTTACTCTATGGTTCTACTTCATGATATCAGACTTCTTTTATGTGCGTCTGTGTATTTCCAAGTCAGCCTTGATTCCTGGCAACAACTGTACAAGTCCCTACAAGTCTTTTGGCGGCATTTTAAAAGTGCTTTCTTCCCATGAGAGGGCTGAGAGGGAGTGACTGGCCCAAAGTCACCCAGCTAGCTTTGTGCAGGATTATAACTCACAGTTTCCTAGTTTCTAGCCTGTTGCTTTATCCACTACATCAAATTAACTCTCTTAGTCTGTTTTACTTTTTCTTATTCTTAAATTTTTATTTCATTAATATCCCTCCTTTATTGTTTTTATAAACAACCCAAGATGACGAACATATCCTTTTTTCTCCTATTTTCCCCTCAACAACCTTGTGAGGTGAGTTAAACTGAGAAAGAACAACTGGCCCAGGATCATCCAATTAGCTTTCATGGCTAAGGCCGGATTTGAACTCACAGTCTTCTGGTTTCTAACCTGGTGCCTTAACCATTAGACCAAACTGGCTCCCTTGTTCCAATATATATGTAACTAGCAGAAATGTTACCATCTGTAGAGATTTATTAACCAAACAGACACACCATGCTAATAATTCTGAAGCTTATTCAATTTAATAAGTAGCCAACAGAACATCAGGAATTTTGGATTGCTGATTGTTAGAATGTTTTCTATCTTGTTTGCTAATTAAGGTAAAAGATTAACCACATGTCTTCTCTTCCTTGATATCTACAGCGCAAAAGATATTTTGTGTGCTTGGATGGATTCAAGTTCTGACAACAGAATAGAAAAACAAAAGTACTTTCAAATTTAATTCAGGTGAAACTTTAATAGCCTGCTTTTAATAGTAAAAGCAAAAAGGGACAAGGCACACACATATGTCCTCACTTAATGATAATTGAGACTGGAATTTCTGTTGCTAAGCAATGAAGTTCTAAAGTGCAAAATCATATGTCGGGAATGTTAAATAACAGCAGTCTTGGCAAGTTCCGGTTATCATTATTAGGTGAATTACTGCAGGTCATTAAGTGAGGACTTCAAACTCCCTGCTGATTTTGATTGTGGGGAGCCAGCCGGGAAGGCTGCAAATCACAATTATTTGATCATGGAAATCCAGGCTGGTTGTTGAGTGACCGGATCACATACCCATGACCATGGGGCACTGAAAGAGCCAGAACTTTAAGGACTGGTTGTAAGTACCACTCCTTCAATGCTTTTATTGAGTTGTTGAATGAGTGGTTATTAACTGAGGACCACCTGTATGCTGAAACCTCACCAAAACTTCCTCATGCGCTTTTCTCTCAGCTACAGAGATATCCACAGAGAGTGTGGGCAAAAGGGCCAAGATGGCAGCCATGAAAAACAGGCAGACTGAATCAAGTTCAATCACATCCTTGTGGTCACCATCTTGACTTCTTTGTCCATCCCCACCTCTGCTCATTAAGTTTTAATGGTGGAAATAATCGTAGGTTATTTCTCTCCTTCAAGCCAACTCCAGTTTTCTATTTAACGCTGCTATTCAGAAGGAACAAATGTTGACTTCCGGTTTGAGCTTCTTCAGCGACGGACCGAAATCTGCGATCGTGCACGGTTTTGATCTGTGCTCGCCGCCGGAGCACCCCGAGCCGGATGGATTCGGGGCTAAGCCATCCCGTAGAGGTGTTGAAGCAGGGGGAGACTGCCAGCAGGGTCGAGGAGAGCCACATCTCTCCTCCTCAGCTGGCCATTACTCCCTTTCCCAAAGGCGGTTGCAACGGTGGTCAGAAATGGCCACCTCAAAGAAGAACTTGACCGGAAAAGAATGTGCAGGAGGAAGATAAGAAGAGAAAGTTTTGGTTGACCAGGTTGAATTGAAAAAGCAACAATGTAAAGTACTCTGGAATTTGAACTATAAAAAATAACATTGTTCCCAAAGAAGATTGTGAAGCAGCGAAGGAGAAAGGGAAGGGAAAGGATTTGGTTTGTTTTTTTCTTCCCTTCCTTATACTGACAGCTAAGAGATTTAAGTAAGAAATTGACAAAAATCCACTTTGACATCAATAGGCATTTAAGCTGAAAATAAAATGTCAAAGGGATAATAAAGACTTTTGGATATTCAAAAACCTTTAAAAGAAGGAAAGGAGAGAAAAGGAAAGAATAAAAGGGCGGGATCTGGAAAAATGGAGGAGACTGCCTGGAACTAAAAGGAACTTACAGTGAAACCTTAACAAGATTCCTAAAAGATATATTCTAACTGAAACTTTGTAACAAAATAATAGAACCCCAGGAAGAGAAAGTAGAAAAAAGCAAGAAGAAACAGCTTTGGATTATTTGGATTACTTAGTGATTTTTGGATTTTTGGCTATTGGACTTAAATGACTAAAATCAATTGGGTGATTGTTTAAAAGTGTTTAAAATGGCATCACTTTTGGAAGACCTGAAAATGGAACTTAAAAGACAGAAAGAAGATGCACAAGAAGGAAGAGGTTCTTTTGGCTTCGTATTTCAATTTTTAGAAATGGAGATCTGGAACTATGAGAAACAACAAGAAACGCTTGTAGAACAAGAAGGTTGGGACAAAGAAGAAGCCATCTTTAATGATCAAGTAATTTTATGTGGGGGGAAAAAAGGAAAGGGGGGAAAGACAGTGAAAAGTTTAAGATTTGAAAAAACAACCAAAAAAAAAGAATAGTTTGAAAAATAATTACAATATTAGAAAGCAACAGAAGAGGGGATTACAGATGAGAGAATTAGAAGTAGAGAGACAAGGGGGCAAAAAGGGGAGGGAGAAGAAGAGGGGGAAGAAGAAAAGGAAAAGAAGTTATAAAAGACAGAAACAAGATATAGAGAAACAGGGAAATGTATAAGGATTGAAAGTATAAGCCTATTTAGACATAATGGGTGAAAATGTAATTGAAAAAGGGATTCTGCAAAGGTACATAAGATAGTATTGTTATATTAGAAATAGAAATAATTCTAGGAAATATGAAACAATGTATGATTAAAATGATGGATAAAATACTTATTGTAATGCAATGGAATGTTTGTTAATAAATAAATGAAATAAAATGAATGAGAGAATGAAATTAGGAAAGGATGGGAACATTTTAATTATTATTAATGATTTATAAAAATATCAGTGAAGAGAAATATGGGTGGAAAAAAAGAATTAATTATGGAAAGTTTATAGGTGTTCCCAAGGAAGTATGATGTTCAATTGAAAAGAAATGTTAAAGACGTTAAGATTGTAACTAATATTAATGATAGAATTGAATTGGAATGGAATGAGTGTTTTATTTACTATTGTTATATATATATAAAGAACATAGTGTGTATTTTAAGAATGTACCAAGCAGAATTCGATTGGATGTTATGTACTATACTGAATTTATAATTCTAAAGGCATAAATTGAAGTTTAAACAAGAGTTGAATGGATAAAATTAAAAGATATAAAGGAGTCATACTCCAATTAGTAACTACAGGGGAAAATTTGTTTAATGAGAAAAGGTAATATGAAATTGAAGCAGGACAGACAAAAGTATAAATATAATGATTAGAAAGACATTGAAACTTAGAAAAAGATATATAATTGAATTTAGATATGAGATAATTAAAAATAAAGTTGAGAAAACAAAGGGAGAGGAAAAATTATGGAGAAAATGTTAAAATAGTAGTAAGACATAGAATAGAACACAAAGATGAATATGAAATTGAGTTTGTGTCTGTATGGAGAAGTGATAACCCGGGATCATGCTATTCTCAAAAAAAAGATGTTTTATTTGTATTGTTTTTGTGAAAACCCAAATAAAATTTATATTAAAAAAAAGAAGGAACAAATGTTCTGCTTTGAAGGCTAAACATTTAATCTCTAATTTTATGTTATACCAATACTCTTCTATGAATTTAAATAACAATTTTTATTTTTAATCTAGGGAACACCACAAAGGCCATGATGGTTTCCCAGAGTAGATGCTTTGCGGTTTCAAACACATTTCAATATTATGTTTTGTTTCGCACAGTTATAGTAAAGATCTTTTGGAGAACAACTTTCTTTTCTGTCCCAAAGGTGCTTTTTCAAGAGGCAACTGGACTTTCTAGTTTTTCTTTGAAGACACTTCGCGTCTCATCCAAGAAGCTTCTTCAGCTCTGACTGGAATGGAAGGATTTATACTCCTTGCAGACAGCTGGTCATTTGCATTCTTTTAGCAAGTTGTTAAATCCTTCCATTCCCCACCATCCAGTCAGAGATGAAGAAGCTTCTTAGATGAGAAGGAAAACGTCTTTAAAAAAAACACCAAAAATCTAGTTGCCTCTTGAAAAAGCACCTTTGGGACAACCATGACCTGAGTGACTGAGAATCTCCACAGATAACTTTCTTTCCTTTGAATATATTTATCCTGTGTTTCCTTAGAGACTTGCCTAAGCCTTAATATACTTACCAGGATGCCACACCATTCACATCTCATACCCGAGAGCACGTCAGAAGAGCCACAGGTTTTCTTACAAACTTTGCAACGTGAGCCTGATGGAAGGTTTCCCTCCCTCCAGTGATGATGGTACATATCCTATAAAGAGAAGCAGAATCACAAGAATTACGCTAAGAGGGCATCATAACGTTTTGCCCTAACAGGGTCAAACACGAGTCCTTGGATGGGAAAGTATCCAAAAACTACCCAACAGACCATACTGAGAAATATTTTGTAAGGATATCTCAGAAGAAAGCAGAGGCAAATTATTTCTGCGTTGCTGCCAAAGAAATCCCAATAGACAGCCAATCATCAAGAGTTAAGTGAAGTTTGAGTCAAAAGAATCTTTACTGATTTTACCAGAGTCACCACCCAGGATCACTGGGAGTTAAGCAGTAGGATAGTCCTCGACATACAACCACAATTGAGCCCAAAATTTCTGCTGCTAAGTGAGAGTTGTTCAGTGAGCTTTGCCCCATTTTATGACCTTTCTTGCTACAGTTGTGAAATGAATCACTGCAGTTGTTAAGTTAGCAACATGGTTGTTAATCCAGCTTTCTCCCATTAACTTTGCTTGTCAGAAGGTTTCAGGTGATCACATGATGCAGAAATACTGCAACTGTCATAAATACGAGTCAGCTGCCAAGGGTCTGAATTTTGATCACATGACAATGGGGATGCTGCAATGGTTGTGTGAAAAATGGTCATAAGTCACTTTTTTCAGAGCCACTGTAACTTCAAATAGTCACTGAATAAACTGAGGTAAGTTGAGGACTACTTGTGTATAGTAAGTAAGTGTGTGTGTGTGTGTGTGTGTGTATCACATATAATAATCTATTGTTATCATTTAATAAATAAATTATTGTTGCTATTATTATCACACATTTTTAAAGCCTCACAGGACGTTAAATCCCTAAAGTAGTTACATTATCATATCTGAAGAATCTAAGATCATACAGAAAGTCAAGTAAAACATACTTTCAGCAATCTTAATTATATTGAACTGCCAGTTATTCATCTATATGTTAAAGACTTAGAAAATTTTGTTTTATGTATAGCTAAGCAAATTTATTTCCCATGTTATTCAAAGCATACCCAAATAATGATGGAAAAGGATTGTTCATAGCCCTAATTTCTTTCAAATGAATTGAAATCAGCCATTCCTTCATAAGCTGACAGGATCTCATCAACTATGACCATAAATAATATCTGAAAATCAATGCATGCACCCTTCATTTAAAATCTGGTGCATCTCTTCAATATAGAACTCTCATATTGAGTATATTTATTTTTTAAAAACTCAGTAAACTCTGGGAGGTGAGGTTTGGAATTGAACTTCATGAATTTCACTGGAGCTCGCTGTGGCATTGAATTGTCTGTGACAGCAATCCCCAAGAGGCACTAAACTCTAAACTTTCACTACATTATGCAATGAACGCTTAATTTAATGCATCATACATGGGCTGGCATATTTGCTCTTCCTAAATATCTTTTAAATACAAATTATGTAATTTGCATTGATTTACTATTTCCATAGTAGCTTAAATGGAGGAGATGGTGGCATAATTTATTTTATCTTATTAATGATATTATTATGCAAAGGACTTTCAGCAATGCAAAGAAGGAAAAATTAGTACGTCCTTTTGCATTTTATATTAATTATTATGTCCAGATTGTTTCAGCAGGACATTCCTGCTATATCAAAAAGAAGATTGGATGGAAATTCTGCCTGTTGCATCTGAAATCTACTAAAATAGGATCTTTTAAGCTATCATTGATTAGATTTTAACTTAGATTTGTCAACAGATAAAATTGGTTACGACTTTAGTAACAATGCTCTACTAGTTATTTTCTTGGATCAAAAGTTTCAAAAAAATGTGGCAACATTGCTCATTTATTATTTATTTATTTATCAAATTTCTATACAGCACTTGTATGACTCTGGATACAAATTATTTTTTGTTGTTATCTACCAAATTTGTTACTGAAAAACATTGAAAAGGTAGGTTACATTTTTAATTGAATCAGCAATATTTAAAGGTGTGGGAAATTTATTTAGCTGAAAAAGTAATCTAACAACAAAGAGCTTGGGGAATTTATTGAAATTCATCACCATTAATTAACTATATTAATGATGTTTTACAATAGTGTTTAATATTTATGCATATGTTTACATAGGGTATGTAAAATTCACTCATACATTCACAGAGGCATACACAATCACAAGCAATTTTTCATTTTTTCTGATTTCTTTTTGTTCTTGTTTTAGTTTTCCTTCTAACACTGCATGCTGTAGATAACATTTAATGTTTTACTACTTTGATAAAAATGTAACTAGGTGAAGGTATACTTACATGATTTTGATGACCGTCTTGATGGCACTGACGGCAATCACTGCAAGCAAAGGGGGCACAGTCTGTGTGTACGTGTATCTCACATACTGAAATAAATGGGGAAAAGCAAAATGAACTTCCTTCTGTGTCTGTTTACCCACGTGCATCTCTATATTCCTCTATACTTCCTTTTTTCAGGATAACCTTTAAAAAAATATTACAACTGTTTTACCGTTGTAAAATTTGTACGTAAAGTATTGTGAATACGAATTTAAAAGTTATTTAAATTAGGTGATCTGCTAACCAGTTAAATTTCACAGTGCTGCCTAACGTCTATGTACAGCAGGGGTCCCAACCCGGAGTCCATGGACCGGCATCGGTCCACGGCATGCTAGAAACCAGGTTGTGCATACAAGCGAATCTGCCACACCCCTTCCAGTCCATGGAAGAACCTTTCTCCACAGAACCAGTCCCTGGTACCCAAAAGGTTGGGGTCCACCTTTAGTACAATATATTTACCAATGTAGTATGGCTGTATTATTATCATTTATCCTTCTTATTATCTTCTTTACTCGATGAGGAGGAGGAGGATGAATCTGTTGTTTTGCATGTACACTGAAAATTTTTGCATCAGAGACAAATTCCTTGTCTGACACTTGGCCAAATAAAGTATTCTAATTCTAATTCTTATACACAACAAGAGTAAGTTCCCCGTTCAATGGTGAATGCCATGAAACACAAAGGAATATGTTTCATTGCTGAAAACAATTCCATTGCAAAGGAGAATACAGGTTTTCTTTTGATTTTTTTTTCCACCAAGTCTTCAGACTTCCTTTAAAGATCAAAGAAACACTCAAACATTTTCTTTTCATAGAAAAACATAGATTGGAATCAGGGAAAAGAAGTTAACAACTTAAGCATGACTTAAGCATGGTATATAAAATCATATATAAAATCATATAATATATAATATATATTATATATAATATATAAATAATATAATATATAATATATAAATATAATATATATTATATATAAATATATATAATATATAATATATATAATCATATAAAATCGTATATAAAATCATACATTGCAATGTCCTACCTGTCAATGAATACTTCAGCTTCAACCATAACAACACAAGAGCACACAATAGATACAAACTCAAAGTAAACCGCACCAAACTTGATTGCAGGAAATACGACTTCAGCAATAGAGTGGTCAATGTCTGGAATACTCTACCCGACTCTATAGTCTCTTCCCCAAACCCCAAAAACTTTAACCTTAGACTGTCTACTATTGACCTCACCCCTTTCCTAAGAGGTCTGTAGGGGGCGTGCATAAGCGCACCATCGTGCCTACCGTCCCTGTCCTATTGTTTCTCTTATTCTTTTATTTTTCTTATATGTACCCATTTCATGTATTCACAACTATGTATACACTTATACTTATTATCTTGTAAACAATTGGCAAATCAAATAAATAAAATAAATAAACAATGAAATTAAGCTATGCTGATTAGTAGTATAATCCATTCTTTTTGGAGCTTACCTTCACAACGAAATGCTGGACTTTCCAACTGCTTTCTGCACACAGAACAGAACTTTCTCTTGTAATGTCCTATGGGTCCAAAACAATGTGCAACTGGAACCTGCAGGGGGAAAAAGATATGGATTAACTACATATTGCACAGTGGTTTATGTTGCATATATATTTTAACTGCTATGCATTTGGTTAATGTCCAGTCAGAAGCCAAGGCTCCATTTTTTCATGAGTATATAAACACAACATTCAAAAGGAGACAAGAAATCTATGTGGCTGCTAAATAGTCAATATCAACTTGATGGCATATAATCAACCAATTACTATACTAATTTCTTCTCATTAAGAAACATGATTAATTATGTTTACTGTTGGAAACATTAAAAATATGAACTATGCATCATTAACAAATCCTATTTATCACACAAGCTGATTTACCAGAAACCAGGGAAAAAGCTTGGAACTATAAATCAATACTGATAAAATCAAGGAAATTCAGTAGAAAAAGTTCAGAATTAAGGCTATCTCAAATTCAGAAAAATTCCACAACCAGAGATTTTAGAAACTGAGGTTGCTACCTTGACAAATAAGTACCCCACAATCAATAATGACACCGTAGAGTCAAAGCTATGTTTATCTATAATTAGTTTTCCACCTACTCTTACTTTCCCTTGTTCAGTCAGCCTAAATCTGGAGGAAGCAAAAATTATTCACCGGGTGCAGATCTTACACAACCTTCTCTACAAAGATTTTATGCAAATGGGATTCTTTCTGGACTGATTTGATTTCTCATGTTTTCTCACTGCTCGTGTCCACAATGGCAATTATACTGAAAATTGGGAGATACCCCTGCCATTTTGTGTATGCACTCATCACTTACTCTCAAAATATAAATTTATCCTTGGCTGAAAAATGTTACCAAATTGACTTAAGTCAAAATTTTGTATGGCATCATTAATGTCATGAGATATATCTATAATTGTGGCCTCTATTTTAATTTCCAATTTCTTGACTTGGGTGAACATAATCCCGTGTTCACCTTAATTCTGCTTTTAAACCAGCTAATTTGGCAGTCACTTGAGGTGAGATGGGTAATGTAGAAATTTAATACATAAATAAATAACATATTTTTATTGCTGGATTTTAAAGGAGAACATACTGGAATAAGATTGTATATTGAAGACAGCATTTGTAGAATTGCTATAAAGCCTTTATAAATATTTAATAATGTCATTACTAGCATTGGCATTTGGTATATTTTGAAATGACGGGTTATATACTGATTTCTTTACTTATTAGAATAGCATTCTGCTATCAGAATGGAGGCCACGTATAGCTTTCCCCCAAGCTGTACAAAATAGCCCACACAGTTTTAGTACCCACTGTTATTTGCATAATGTTTTCTGAGGTTGGTGACGCCTAAGGTCAATCAGTGAGTCACAGAAATTATCTAATGTATGAAGCAACTAAATATACCATAAGGAGAGAGAAAGAAATTCAAGTTGCTGTAGGAAATGCCAACCTTAACTTTAAGAGCAGCTTCCTACCTACTAAACATTTCTTTTTTATGTAGTTCATCAAACTATCGAAAATTAACGAAAACATCACAAAACAAAGGCCAATTATGAACAAAGGCTACTAATCTTTCTGATACTGTACATTAATGCAGGAACTACATGGCATAGAGAAAACATTGGGGATATGCAATTCAAATTATTCACTGAATGCCAGAGCAAAAAGACCAATGGCAACAGCTTGCTTTGATACAGTAAATGAAAAGTATTTTCTGTCTACCCTTGCGATCTGGAGGCCAGGAGATGAAATACGGAACAAGGATGAAGGCAACTGAATGAAAGTAGGTGATAAAACAATTTACTGAGCCTCTTCCATGCATTAAGAATCGGAAAAGGCTACGTTACTGGTTTCTTTATTTCTCTATTGCTTCAATTTACACACCTCTCCATTTCCCAGGACTCTAAACTGCTTACAAGGTATTACACTAGAGGTAAAACTGGAAGAAGAGTAACAAATCGCCATCAATCCCCACCACTAAGGGAAAATATATTTTTTCAATCATTTCTAAATGCCTGTCTTCAAGAATCCATAATTTTGAAAATGTAACAGGGAGTGGGTAGCTCAGGTATCCAGAGACAAGCTGTTCCAAAGGAGGGGGGAGAATCACTAAGAAAGCTTGATCATGAGGTCTATTTCTTTGTTGATGGGATCTCTAGCCTAGCCTTCTCTTCCAGAATCTTCCAGAATAGACAAATAGAACTCCAGAAAAAGGTCTCATATGTAGGCAGCAGACCCCCAAATTCTGGACCCAGTCCAAAAGGGTATCATGATGAATACAGGTAGTCCTCAACTTACGAGAGTTTGTTTAATGACCATTCAAAGTTACAAAGACACTGGAAAAAGTGACTTATGACCATTGCCGCACTCCCAGGGTCATGTGATTTATATTCAGATGTTTGATAATTGGTTCATATTTATGACAGTTGCAGTGCCTGACATCATGTTACCATCTTCTGTGACCTTCTGACAAGCAAAGTCAACGGGGAATCCAGATTCACTTAACAACCGTGTTACTAATTTAATAATAGCAGTGATTCACTTAACAAACATAACAAGAAAAGTCATAAAATGGGGCAAAATACACTTAGCAAATTTCTCACTTACCAACATAAGTTCTGGGCTCAATTGTGATCATAAGTCGAGGACTACCTGTAGTATCAAAAGCAGCTAGGTCCAAAAGAATAACACACACACACACACACACCACCCCATTCCCATTCCCATTAGAAATCATCCTAGAGAGTAAATAATGTGTTCTCAGCCCCATACCTTAGCTTGAATCTTGACTGAAAGACGTTCAGATAATCTGCTTCTGCAGAGTCCTCTGAAGCTGCTGTACAATCAACTTCTCCATCGCCTTCCCCCCAAAGCCAAAATTGTAAATTGGATGACAATTGTACAAAATCATCGGATGATTCTGGACAATTGTCATTTGAGGGAGATTGTTGTTATGAAGAAGAGGCAGCCCACTGCTTCCTTTAGTGGGACCATCCTTTTATTACTGCCAAGACCCAACGTTATCTCCTGGAAGCCTTAGCCAACATTGTGGAATACGGATTTCAAACAAAGATGGCAAAGCTAATAGTTACACAAATCCTGAGCACTTTTATCAGGTTCAACAGGGAAAAAAACTCCTCCCTGATAACCAAGTTAGATCCTGTTCCAGTCACCTCCGCAGGACTGCTTGAAAGCTATAGTTTAACTTGATACAAATCTAATTGGCTTTCAGATACCTTGCCAATTCCTCAGAGTAACCTTATAGGTAGACATAACAGCTACCTCCTACCAGGGAGAGTCAGGTCACTTGAAAGACATAAAAATGTGGACATAAAAATGGCAAAGAAATATTGACATTTTGCTGCTCTTACAACCACAAAGTAGGTTATAATAGCAGTTCTAATCTATATTGGATCTAATTCACTTCTCGTTGGTCTTCAGTAGCACTCCAGGTACCTTTCAAACACTTATCTCCCTGAACTCCTCTGTAAACCAAGGAGAGTTCGAGGATCCCTGGGTAAGGAGGGGCTGCTTGGGTGTGATCCAATCCAGAGGCCCCAATTCCAGGACACACTAGGACTTCAGTTTGGGCTATTCAACAGAACTAATCTTCAAGAACAAGCCAGGTTCCTTCTGGAACCGAATTAGGCTCATCAGATGCTTGGAAGAGCCCAATTTAATATTTCCCATCAAGAACTCCAGGGCCATCAGAAAGTGTTCTGACTTGATCTATATTTTTTTCCCCTTTTAATTCCTGTAATCTCTTGCATCGGGGTGGTCGGGGCAACTGAATGGAGCTGAGTATTGTATTATTGATATAAAGAGATAACAAATGTATAGTGGCATCATAGTGCTACTGATGAAATCTGGAACTTCTTTTTCTTTGATAAATGAACAATAAAAGATCTGAGTAAATTAACTGGTAACCTTCCAAGGGGGAGGAATTATATCAGATCTATCCACCTGCAATTATTCTGTAAGAGCTATCCCATTTCCAGGAATTGAAAGCCTAAGATCCATCATCCTCATTCATTAGACTGTGGCCAAGGCTTATGAATTTTGCAGCCTCATATTATTTGATGGGCCACGTCTAATTTTCTTCAGGTGAAACCAGAAAAGAAGCTTGCTGAGCTTGCTGGTATACAAAAAGTTTTCAAACATCGTACTGGTGTCGAGGTGCAACAGCAATGTTCTATTAATGCATTTTTTTAAAAAAAAAATCAGGAAAAAAAATTTAAAAGCCTCTTTACATCACCCAGTCAAGAAACAAATCTCCCTTTAAGGAGATACATAAATGAAGTTGCAGTTGAAGGATGTAGTTCTACACTGCAGAAAGGCAAAAGGGCAGCAAAGAAAAATACAGCTGAGAAAGACAGGCAGTGTCCCATTCCCAAGCAGCATATTTCCACCACTGAAGATAAGGGTGGGATAGTGCCAGCTGTGTCTGACCTAATAACCCATGCATAAAAAGTCTCTCTGTTGCACAAGCATTGCAAAAGGAATATTCTCCCTATTTTACGCAATCAGATGATGCAATTACTATTGAGTAGGTTCCCTTCTGTCCAAGATGGCAATAATCAGAGCCTTCCGTTGACTCTCTTTCTTGTGAATGGACAAAAATAGCTCTCCATCAAGATATGCAAATCACCACACATTCTCAGAAAATGAGAAGAATCCAGTTTTAACAGCCTGATTTAATCTCTTCTTCACCCCCCTCTGCCAAATTCGTCCCTGAGATTAATCTTACTTCCTTCACTCCATAAAGCCTCAATTATTCTTGTACTTAATCATCACCATAGACAAGTAGCTGCTTTAATTGTACAAGCAATATCAATTTTGGTTCTCGTTTATTATTGAAACCCCTTTCTAGAAGTCTTTATAATCCATTAAGATCACTGTGCAAGATAATGTAATCTCATATTTGCCTTTGCTTTAAAGTCATGTAATTATCCTTAATATACTGAATCACATCCTCACGCATGTGTTTAATATTGGAATTTTACTGCATTATCCCAAAGTCCTTAAATAATCAGAGAC